TACAGCAATGCTTACCGAGGATGTCGAACAGGGAGGGTGTGGTAGAAGATCTGGCGAGGAGGGCCAGTTCCCCAACTCACCAGGTCATTGGAAGCGCAGGCTTCGCACGCCTAAATCTCGATCTGCGCGCAGAAGCAGCCGCTTTCAATTTGCCCGCCCGTCTCAAATGACCGCAGCAGCGCACCTTTGAATTTGCCAATACAATTCCTCGCGCGCGGACGCGCGCGCGTTCAGGCGGCTTGGAGGAATTGCTGAGGCCACGTGGTTGATGCGTCGCGAGAAGGTCTGCTGCGCGCGGCCAATTCCGTGGCTGGTCAGCCTCATGAAGTCCAAAGTCACGCCTTTCGCACGTTCCAGTCAGAGCTCTTCCAAACGATATCACCGCCAATCCTCAAGATTCGTCAAAATGCCGTTCGTCAAGAACATTAAGACCTCTGCGTACTTCAGTCGATACCAGGTGCGTATTGCGACGGCAGCGTCGTATCAGATGGAGCTTGCAGATCCGTCTTTTTGGGAGACCTCGCGAATCGAGAGTGCCGTGCAAAGGAGCGGGCGACCTTGGCATGGCACAGCGCAGGGCCAAATGGTGTGCTCGGACCGAAGGGCAATAGGGAAGGAAACAGATGCGGGGCACCGCTGGCGCGATCTCGTCACTCGCAGAGAAAACGATCACTGACCACCTCGGACCTGCTTCTTCCGCAACCCACAGGTCAAGTACCGCCGTCGTCGCGAGGGAAAGACCGACTACTACGCCCGCAAGCGCTTGACTTCTCAGGCCAAGAACAAGTACAACGCGCCCAAGTACCGCCTTGTTGTCCGGTTCTCCAACCGCTACTGCACCGTGCAGATCATTTCTGCTCGCATTCAAGGAGATGTTGTCCTGACTCAAGCCAGCTCCAAGGAGCTGCCCCGATACGGCATCAAGCATGGCTTGAGCAACTGGACTGCAGCATACGCTACTGGTCTCCTTGTCGCCCGCCGTGCCCTCACCATCCTCGGTCTCGCGGACAAGTACGAGGGTGTCACTGAGCCTGATGGTTCTCTCTCCCTCACCGAGCCTCTCGGTGACGATGAGCCTCGCCCATTCAAGTGTTTCTTGGACGTCGGATTGAAGAGGACATCGACCGGTGCTCGAGTCTTTGGTGCTCTCAAGGGCGCATCAGATGGCGGTCTCTACATCCCTCACAGCGAGAAGCGTTTCCCCGGCTACGACCCCGAGAGCAAGGAGCTCGACACCGACCTCCTCTCTGGCTACATTCGTGGATCTCACGTCTCGGACTTCATGGAGTCGCTCGAAGAGGAAGATGAGGAGAGGCACAAGAAGCAGTTCGCGCGTTACCTTGCAGATGACATTGAGAGCGATGCATTGGAGGGTATCTACGAAGAGGCTTACGAGAAGATCCGGTGAGTGAAACGGAGGCCGGGACTTGGCAGATGCGAATGGGCAATCGAGATGCACTAGTATCAGGCTGAATCACTGACGTCTTGCGATTGCGATGCTTGCTTCGCAGCGAGGACCCGGTCTACCACCCTACTGAGAAGACCAAGGACTGGAAAGCCGAGTCCAAGAAGTACAAGCAGCCCAAGCTTACCTACCAGCAACGCAAGCAGAAGATCGCCGACAAGATCGCTGCTTTCAAGGCTGGTCAGGCCATCTAAAGCAAGTTTGCTTGCTGCTCACCTCTTCACACTACCCTGTCCCCTTTTCCCTCCACGTGCATCTCCACTCTGACCATCGGCGTCATCACTTGTACTCATCCCAAAAGATTTTGATATGTGGACGTCCTCGGTCCAACCATATGCGCAAGCAATCCATGTCCGACCAGCAGGTCATTCTGGTATATTTTGGCTCTAGCAGACGCCACGATGTTGTCTACGCAGGAAGAGGGTGTCGAAGCGCGAGGAGTGAGAAACCTCAGCGAAGCTCGACAGCGCGAGTCGTCTGCGCGGCACTCGTGCAGCGAAGCGCGACTGAGGCGCTGTGGATCATTGCGCGGGTCTGTCTGTACTCATGACTTGCATCCAAACGATGGCACCACATGGCGAGCTGAAAGAGTGACCCAAGGCTAGGTGGATGGAATAGCCCCTACCCTAGCGTGTGTGGGTGACCATCAAGTCTAGGGGTTGCTCTTGGCCGCCAAGATGCGAAGCTCTCTAACCGCTCGTCAAGAAGCCAAGCTGAGAGTCGCGTATGGGCTGAAAGAGGACGAAGCGCTTCCTCGACCTTTTGGAGACAATCCTTTTGCGGGCCACATCGATCCCAACGAGTCAATAGCGGGCCGGTGCGGCATTGGGCAACCTGTGGTCGAATTCGAGCTGGATGAGATTTGCGCAAGAGCACTGCTTGGACGAGGAGATCTTGCGGTGGTTGCGGTGAAAAATGAGGTGAATGGTGATCGTGTCGCCTGGGAGTGGAGCGACGGGCAGGCCAACAGCTTGACATCGCCTCTACAAGTCTGTGGTACCTTGTCTAGAGGTAGAGCATCATCTGTCCACCTCGTCAAGCTGCGTAACGGCCGACTAGTCGTGCTCAAATTAGTGAGAGGCCCTAGAGACTCGTGCAGTGATGTCACACCACGTTGGCTCATCCTTTGCTCTTCATCGGTAGTTTCACAAGGCAGAACAAGGTTCGCTTCAATTTGAGCGAGAGTCGCATGCTTATGCGTCGCTAGGAAGGCAAGGTCTTCTACTGGCCCCTACTACGACTGGCGGTGAACACGCGTCTGCTACCGATGATCTAGATCAGCGACAGCTAAAGGCCATTGCTCCCCATTGCTTCGGATGGCTGCATCTGGATCATTTGGCAAGCACGACTCAAATACCTCGAGAATTGAGCAGTGCCATTCAACAAAGCTCAAGAGGACTGTTGATTGACTACCTGAGACCAGAACAAGGCTGGACGACGCTCGAAGCGCCTCACGGATCTGCTCAGTCCCACGCTCTAGATCCGGCAAGACTCTGCAGGGAGGTGTGTCAAGCTGTCATTGAAGCCCTTGAATGCACACCAAGGTGCCACGGAGACGTGTACGGGCGAAATGTGCTCGTGAGAAGCATACCCATTCACGTGATTCTCCGAACGCACCAAGCACAGCATGAATCTGCATGTGGGTCTACGACTTCCCATTGTGATTCAGATGCTGGAGCGCAATGGCAAGCAGTATGGGTAGACTGGGCCTCCTCGCCCTCCATGTCGCACATCTACGCAGCGCATGCAAACCCAGACGCCGAACGACAAGCGGTATCGCTGCACGCCAAAGCAAAACGTAAAGAGCTGGCATTGCTTTGGAGCAGGCTCTTCGAAGTGATGGTGAGTGGACCGTTTGACGTTGCTCAGCTTATCACAGCCTGGATTTCCAACTGATGCTGAGCCACTCGAGGATCGGTCAGCTTCCGCTAGCGCGTTCCCCATGCAACGCCGCGACCCCATGAAGACGCCGATGTAGTCCACACAACGAACGGTCTTAGCCGTTGGAGCGCTGGAGGTGCGCCAATCCGGATCGTCACCGACG